CGGAATCCATCCCTAAAATAAGGGAATTTTTTTACACGATTCTTACCCACCACAAACTTTAAAAATGAAGCACTAATCATTAAAAGTCTAAAGAGTTTATAACTACAAATGAGTGAGAGAGAAAGAGACAGTGTGTGTGTGTATTAGAGAAAGTGTGTCATTTTTTAAACATTTTTTATCAGAGAATGTTTAAATACTAATATCAGCTCACGAGGGAAACGGTACGTGGTGCTTCGGGGGCTGCTGGAGATGATTAGGGAGAGGTCTGTGCTCCTTTACCGATCAAAGCGCGCGCTGACACGGAGTATAATTGTTTATACTTGACGCGTCCGCACGAGCGCGGCAAAGATTACGCGTTGGGTGCGCAAGACCGGCAAGACCCCATTTCGCTTGGCTGTGTGCACAGCTTTTTTTGTAACAGCGCGCGCGGCGCCGCATCCGAGGATGAACGACTTCAAGCCGAATCTGCCCGAGCATGTACGTCTCACACCAGGCCCGGATTGGCCATCTGGCAATTCTGGCACATGCCAGAAGGGCCGGTGTGATTTTCTATTGTTTTGGGCCGAGCTGACCACGTTGCTGCACCTTTATCGCAAAAAAGTTTTTACGCTCGCATGAGGAGGTTTTTCAGGCAATTCGAAAAAGGAATATTTCGCAAAACTGCAATGGAAACAGTTTTTGCGCATTTACAGTCACCTGAAGACGCGGTGTGTTTGGGGTCCGTGATATACGCAAATAATAGGCTAATAAATATCATCATTATTATAACAGTTATTAGGCTACATATTTAGAAGACGCTTTTATCCAAAAAAAAGGAACAAAGCAATTCGTCAAATGTCATTCATAATGGTTAGACAATAATAATACAGGGCTAAGATTATCACAAATAAACACAAGATTTTGACGCATATCCAAGTGTTTGCTGAGCGCGCATGGCACGGAGGCGCGGCCGCGAACACTTGCTTTTTCCTATCAACAGTAGAAACAACTTAAAATAGGCCTACTCTATAATTTCTGGTCATACAGAAAATAATAATACATTATTCGCCACTATGATTTTATTTGTGTAAACTCACAATAACAAGAAAACGTTGTGCTTTTGTAAAATAAAATAAAACAATCATGCGCGCTTTCATGATCTCCGTGAACTGGAGCGCGAGAACTGAAACAAAGTAGGCTATAGCCTAGGCTAAAGCTTGAAGTGTCCACTTTAAAACGAACAAATTCGAATCGAAAGCTAATACATTCTGATGATGTAATCCTTATGAAAGGTGTATTTCTCTCTAAAGGTGCATTCGCGCGGCGCGCCTCAGCGGAGATGGAGATATGTTTTTAGCCGACACTGATTTAGAAAACAATAGTTTATTAATAAACAATTAAAATGACTCGTTATTTTTTCAGACAGATTTATTATCATTAGCCTATAACTCACCTAAATCACCTTGTGGTTCCAGAGACATAAATATGGCTCTTCTCATTCAGCACTGCGGGAAAAATATAATTTCCAGGTTCTAATTTGCCCTTAGAAAACCATTAAAATCTACATTTTGTTCGTATTAAGTTGTGAATATTTTAAATGTTTAATAAAGGGGCAAAAAGTCAAAGAAACATCTGAAATTTAGTCGATATATTATTATTTTTGCACAGCATTTGTGTACAGTTCAAATTAAAAAAAAAAATTGCTGGTTAACTTTGCATTTTAAATAAAAAAATCACCGTTCATTTTTCGTTTTGCAATACGGGTTAAAAAAGGAAAAACGAATGGACACAAATGTACACTGACCGTTTGGACAGAGTTCTTTATTAAATTCATAAAATAAACAATAATTAGGCTTCAGGAATACTGGATTCTAAACCTCAAAGAAATGCCACAATCAAGACCTCGGGGCAGAAATGAGAGAGAAACACCCAGAAACTCCTTAGCAGTATGCGTCTTTCCCTGCCATTAATGCTTGGATAACACACCACGTCTCATTCCATTAATAATAATAATAATGTCTAGTGTGGTGGTGGCTGATAGACCCGTTGCCATGACGTTTAAATGACTTATCGCGAGAGAAAAAAAGGACGTTGTATCGCATAACATCAGTTAATGGAAACGCCGTCATTTCGCAATAGTTTTTTATCGACATTTAGAAAAAATCGCAAAAGTTTTGCGCAAATCTGTAATGGAAACGCGCCTAAATTGCTGCCTTGTATGGTGTGTCTCAGTGGGAAAAATGTTCAGATTCAGGGGACGTTTTTTAACGTCATCAATTAGTTGGGCCGGTGAAAACCACAAATGCCAGGGCCGAATTTTGGTCCCAGTCCGGTCCTGTCTCACACAATCAGAGCGTAAAAATACGGGATATTTTACGGGAAAATAATAAAACGGGAAGACAGCGGGAAAAGAGCTAAAATACGTGAGAAACCCGGAAAAAACGGGAGGGTTGACAGCTATGTAATAGATAGGAGGGGACACACAACTAGTAAAGTTGGATCTGCTGGGAATCCTTATAAATGCTGACAAAGGGTCGGCCAGGCTTGGAAAATAATACTCTTCCCAAATCCTGTCGGCAAACAGGCTAAAATATCTCTTTTTGTCTCCACTAAGTGCCTCAAACAAAACTCCTGGACATCTCTTCAAGAGTCTATGCCGTGAACCTCGCATACTTTTGAGAATCCTAGTTTAGCTGATCTTGATAAATGCTCATTGTCACTCATGTAAACACAACAGTTTTTCTTCCGCAATCACACGTCTGCGCTTTGTTTCCCGGCAGACCGAAAATAAACGCGACACTCGCGCCCCCCGGAAATCCGATAAAATTCAACCAATCAGATGACGACTTCGACATTCCTGAAGTGTTTCCAGTTAAGTGTACCATATGCATCAGACGTTTAGCCAACGTTCCGTGGGCGTGACGTCTGAGGCTGAGACTAGCCGCTCCACGACACGCGTTACTTCCGCATTCCAAAGTTCCTATGGCGGTCTATGGGAGTGTCGCAACTCTTTCTCTGGCCTACTCCAGTCTATGCTCCTAACCTATGCTCCTAACCCATAGGCTACCTACCCCTCACAGAAACGTGCAGGAAAACACCATAGACAGTATGGAAAACACACAGTCTATGGGAAAACATCATGATGTAAGTGAATGACATATTCTGACCACAAGATGGCGCCATTTGAATGCCAGGTATCAGGCATAGACAGTAAAAGAAAGGTATCAGGTCAATGCGATCGTACAATAATTTAGTTCACTCCTTAACCCTTGTGTTCTGTTCGATTTCTGTGTACACCCCTTATGGACCGGGTCAAATTGACCCTAATTGGATTCAATACAATTCCTCAAAAATCACACTATGAAAAACAACAAAGATTTAGATACAAACTGTAAACATTTAATATCAACATTTGTCAAACATTACAAAAACATTACATCTGAAAATATGATTTATGAAAATGTATTTAAAACATTTTTTAAAACAGTTTTGTTTTGACAAAATTGGAAAATAAACAGTATACAGATTTTTTTTTGCATATATTTAAAAAAAAACATTTTTTACTTTTTTTTTTTTACATTTTATGCTTTGAACATCGTAACTGAACAAAAAAAAATTGCTGTATAATGAAATTTTTTCATTTTCCTAAGTTAACTTTCCCTAGTTTCCTAAGACCTATTTTCCTAGTTTCATTATTCACTCACTGGGAAGTGAGAAACCAAACATAACAAAAACATACATCAAATAAATGTTTTTTATTTATTTATTGGCTCTGTGAAGCTGCCTTTGAAAATTCTACATAAAAGTTTTGGTTAAAAGCTAGGTATTTTAGATATTTTGAATATTGAAATGAGAGCTTATTTTACTATCTGTGTCGGACAAAGATTTTCATCTGTAATTTGCAAATAATTCTGAACACTGTAATTTTAGCTTTTTCAAGTGTGTTTGGTTAGGGTTAGAGCACTTTTAGATGCACTTGCACGTTAGAACTGGAGTTGAAGTGCCCTGAAATACACAAAATAAATGTTTTTATTTTGTGTCTGTACAGTTGCTTTTGAATGGCTGTCTATGAGGGTCAAATTGACCCGCGAACATCACGAACGTAACAGTAATTTTGTTTGTATATGTCAAAACACATCAGCATGTTGAAACTTTGCATGCATGTTCATCATGATAAATGAGAAAAAGTCACAAAATATCAAGAAAAAAAAACAAAAGTTAACCAGTATTTCCAACAACTTGAAAATCGAAACGGGTCAAATTGACCCGCAACATAACACAAGGGTTAAGCAGTTAAAAAATAAAGAATATAAAGTGAAGTGTATTGCATTACATTTCCTGCATGACTGGTACATTATCTTCAGAAATCAGCACTATTTTCACATCTGACTATATCTTAAATTATATAGTACAATACAGTGTTTATTTATTACATTATATATATTATTATTTTATATTATAGTATTTATTATCATTTTAAATTTATTTCTGGTCACAAAGCAGACCAGATGCTGCAAATTATATTATTATCTGTAAAATTATATGCATCTCTTTAAAAACCTGAAGGCAGCAGCATAAAGGGCAAATAAAGTAAAAATGATACACTAAACATTTGATGGAAAATCTAACTTTATTCATCTTTGATCAGAACTCAGTTTCACATTAGACACTTGTACACGTAACAGTCTGACCTGGATACAAATCACATGATCGTCATCATCATAAACATACTGTCTGATAACTGTATCATCACCTCCATGAAGATGTTATTTCATCATTCAAAAAAAAGTGTGATGATAAACAGTCAAATTGAAGTTTCCTCTTCTATTTGTGTTCATGATCATCTGAAGTCCAGATTATTGTTACTATACCCTTTTTTCTTCTTACTACAACCAGCATTCCCAGGATTTCCAATAATCTGTCAAATGTTTTATTTGATGCGTGTTCCTCTCTTTCCCCCCTGCAGAAGTTAGAGGCAGCTTAATTCTTAATATCTCTCAAACTCAGAAACAAGTACTGATTTTATTCACTCTTCCCTCTCTTCAGACGTCCCTCCAGTCCTGTCCTTCTCTTTAGGTTTGTGTAGAGAAGTGCAAAGTTTACGATGTAGGTGGAGACACACACCACACAGAAATCACCCAAGACGAAGGCAAGAATAGCAGCCAGATACACTGATCCAGCCACTGACACCCAAGAGAACATGACGAGGAAGAACGCTGATCGGCCGGACACTAACTGACCTGTGACCAAAAAGACCAGAATTACATTTGCACGTCACCTTGAGACAATAACTCATATATATATATATATATATACACTCACCGGCCACTTTATTAGGTACACCTGTCCAACTGCTCGTTAACACTTAATTTCTAAGCAGCCAATCACATGGCGGCAACTCAGTGCATTTAGGCATGTAGACATGGTCAAGACAATCTCCTGCAGTTCAAACCGAGCATCAGTATGGGGAAGAAAGTTGATTTGAGTGACTTTGAACGTGGCATGATTGTTGGTGCCAGAAGGGCTGGTCTGAGTATTTCAGAAACTGCTAATCTACTGGGATTTTCACGCACAACCATCTCTAGGGTTTACAGAGAATGGTCCGAAAAAGAAAAAACATCCAGTGAGCGGCAGTTCTGTTGGCGGAAATGCCTTGTTGATGCCAGAGGTCAGAGGAGAATGGCCAGACTGGTTCGAGCTGATAGAAGGGCAACAGTGACTGAAATAACCACTCGTTACAACCGAGGTATGCAGCAAAGCATTTGTGAAGCCACAACACGCACAACCTTGAGGCGGATGGGCTACAACAGCAGAAGACTCCACCGGGTACCACTCATCTCCACTACAAATAGGAAAAAGAGGCTACAATTTGCAAGAGCTCACCAAAATTGAACAGTTGAAGACTGGAAAAATGTTGCCTGGTCTGATGAGTCTCGATTTCTGTTGAGACATTCAGATGTTAGAGTCAGAATTTGGCGTAAACAGAATGAGAACATGGAACCATCATGCCTTGTTACCACTGTGCAGGCTGGTGGTGGTGGTGTAATGGTGTGGGGGATGTTTTCCTGGCACACTTTAGGCCCCTTAGTGCCAATTGGGCATCGTTTAAATGCCACGGCCTACCTGAGCATTGTTTCTGACCATGTCCATCCCTTTATGGCCACCATGTACCCATCCTCTGATGGCTACTTCCACCATGTCACAAAGCTCTAATCATTTCAAATTGGTTTCTTGAACATGACAATGAGTTCACTGTACTAAAATGGCCTCCACAGTCACCAGATCTCAACCCAATAGAGCATCTTTGGGATGTGGTGGAACGGGAGATTCGCATCATGGATGTGCAGCCGACAAATCTGCGGCAACTGTGTGATGCCATCATGTCAATATGGACCAAACTCCCTGAGGAATGCTTCCAGCACCTTGTTGAATCTATGCCACGAAGAATTGAGGCAGTTCTGAAGGCAAAAGGGGGTCCAACCCGTTACTAGCATGGGGTACCTAATAAAGTGGCCGGTGAGTGTATATAACTGAGGGCCCAATAAGACGATTCACTGTGAAACCAGCTGGTCATTGCAAAAATAGCAAAATTAGGAAGTCTAGCACAATTTATCTGCAGATGACACTTGATTTGATATTTTGTTATTGTTCAAAATCAAATCGATTTTGGGGTCCCATTAGTGTCCTAACAGCACTTACCCAAACCCAGCTGCAGCGTATAGAAAATGATTCCCAACACACTGTTCGGCTGATTCAACACGCTGTCTTTGGAAGTGAAGATCTGGACGAGCCCAAATCCACGTCCCCATCTGAGAGGACAATCAGAGTTTCAGCAGTTCAAAGCATCAGTTGCCTGTAAATATTCACTAAATTTGCGGGTTGCATTCAATAAAAATGATCATGCACTGGTACATTTAGGCTTTTCATAACGTTTTCTTTTTCAGACTAGTGGAAAGAAAACATACAAAACACAGTAAGTGTTGTACTTTTATAATTCATATCTTTAAAGGCTGATCCCCCCCCCCCCCCCCCCCCAAATGAGTCTTTTTCTCAGAAATGTGAGAAATGTGTACTTTAGCAGCAGCAACACCAAACTCTTCATTTTTATACCTATATGCTATATATATTCTGAAGGTTTTTACACAGGGGTTTGTTCATATCTCATCTTGACTGATTTTATGCAACATGTTATTCCTAAAACCATTTTTCTGATTTATGGAGTGATAAAAAAAGATATCCAAATGTCCTAAAAACCCTCAACAAAATGAAACAATAATTTTGAACCTGGTTTTATCCAATGGTCAGATTTCTGTTCTAGAAATGTATTCAAATTAGTGCACATTTTAATTTGATATTGTCTCATTTGCATATTTAAACATAATATTCTTAGAAAATGTGTACAATTTGTTTCACGATTCTTAATGTTATCAATCAACTGGGGAATATGGTGTATCTATAAGTAACTTTGTTCTAAGTTAGCTGAGATCAGTGCGTGAAAACTGCCACGACTGAAGTGAACGCATCTACCTGGAGGTGAAGACCTTCGAGCAGCTCACGGAATGACCCAGGTCGCACATCGCACGATATTCCGGATCATTCTCCCGGGAAAGTTCGACGTGTAGCGCGTAAACCGACAGGACTAAACCCAGAAAACAGAGGATGAAGCGAACGCGATGTTCCCATTGAGGAACGCCAGTAACTGAATGAATCTGGGACATTGCAGTGACAGTGTAAAGAGGTTTTATAACAAATTAGCTAATTTACAAAAAGCCCTGTTTTGTAGACTTGTAGACTAAAAGTTGCTACTCTTTGCTAATTTTTAATTGTAGAATATGTAAGTTCGGCTCCCACCTTTCCAAAAAATATATTGCAACGTGGAAAATCCTGAGACAGGAGCTGTGATTGGTCCAAAGAACTGAAACTCGTGACAAGACTGATTTTACATGGATTTTACAGGCTGGCTATAACGTCCAATGGGTGCGCTTTGTCCTCCAGGGGGCGCTTGATGGCTCAGAATGTCTAAAGCCCGCATTCATATCTCAATAAATCCACTAGCATTCATACGATAAAAACATTGAATCGTTTTACGTGCAGATCTGTTACGTACAAGTATTGGTACCTCACATTTGAATGTAAATCTATCACAGCGCTCTAATACATGCCTAATCACTGATTGGTCCGTAGCCTAGTACTGAGAAAAGTGTAAGTTCGACTGATGGGCGATAATGTACACTGAGTAAAGAAGCTGTAAGAGCAAATTGGAAATACACAGTAAATACTTAAATATATCCAGTCCAATGTTTATTCTGCTCACTTTTTCTATGTGTATGGATGGACTGACGCCAGCGCTGATTGGACGGATGGTGCAGAGGGTCCCCGGTCAGTGTCCAGTTAGATAAATATTGGCAATGTAAACACTGGCCTGATCAATTGCATACACAAATGTATTTTTAAAATAAAAAATAAATATTTTAAAACACACTGTATGTCTTTGTTAAATGTTCTAATATTGTAAACAGATGTATTTTTGTTGTGTTGTGGCCTAAATCTGCAGAAATTAAAAATAAATAAGCACGCTAAATAAATGCAATATATAGGAAAATTGATAAAACAGACAATTCATTTTTAATAAAACGTATTCCTGAATTAATTTTTGTATGACGTTTTCCTTTATTTATTATTTTATGAATTATGTACTTATTTTGATCCATAAATTTGTTTTATTATTTTTTCTTCATATATGCGTTTCCACATGTATCGATAAATAAAGGGATGAAGTAATAAAAAAAAGTGCAGGATTAAATTTAAAAAAATAATAATAATTATCTTTGTTTATCAAGTTTGTGTTTAATTTCTGCAGATTTGGGTCTTTGTGTTTACATAATGATAGTAGTTCAACGTGCTAAAGCAAGTGCGCGTCTTGATCCATCAGCTTCGACGCCGCCCAAAGAATGACCCTATTCTACACTGCAAAAGAGCCCGCCCCTCGAGCATGTTCTCGAATCCCATTGGTCAATCTACTTACAAGCATACAGTCGATTGGTCGTTTTGCTGCCTTTCAAACACAATACGGAAGAATACAAGGAAGTAAAAAAACGATGGTTCGTGATAACGAAGAATAGACATGCGTTGAAAGAACCGCTCCGAAATTCCACTGCTTACATATATTACCAGGTAATTGTTGCCGTTTTCATAACCCAACGTTTGCTTTTATTTGTCTTTGTTCCAACATGAAAAGAAAGAAAGTGTTCATATATTATTGTGTAAGCTGTTTTGGGCCAGCAGTCTCTCACGCCCCTGCGGCAGATGAGCAGGATTAATTAGCTACACACAAACGCCAGCGACGCCTTGCTGGACCTGTAGTATGTTAATCCGTTATGAGCAATTACAGATAAGTGGTCAGCACTCAGTGTCTGCTTCTATTAGTTTATGATTTCATGTATAACGTACTCACACCTCTGTGTGCACCTTGCATTATTGTGTTCCTTGAAACATTAAATACACAAAGCTTGTTTTTATATTTGCATTTTTTAAAATATATGTTATTATTTAAAAAGAACGTGTTACAAGAAAGTGGTGCTGTTTTTGAAATTCTGTAAATGATTGTCTGTTTTGTTACTGATTAAAATGAAAGTTAAGTTAGATTGTGCATTATTAACTCTCTGCCACTTTGATATTGTCCAAGAGAAGTCCGTTCAAATAAGGTGAACAGAAAGTATAATTTACAGTCTTGACCTTAGAACTTTTCTCTGAATGCTTGGTTTCAGAATGTCAACCAATGAGAGGGACGAGACAAATGACTCTCAAGCAGGACCGGCCCGTAACGCCTCAGAGGGCAACATCAGGAGAGAGGGCGACTCTGACAACAACCATCACAGAGGCGTTACAGAAGGCCCGCCTCAACCTAGCGATGACACATCCATTGTAACAGATACAAGTACTGTTGCAGATAAGAACTTGGCTCTGCTCAAAGCCCACTCCTTAGATGTGAAGTTTGAAGTTGGCGAAGAATATGACGTTATTGAGACCATTGGGACAGGTGCTTATGGTGTGGTCTCATCAGCCCGAAGAAGAGACAATGGTGAGGTGCCAAGATGCATGTGTTTGTTTTAAAGTAATTAGACTAAATCTCTGATGTTAGAATTCATTATTATTATTACAGCATTATATTAATATTATTAATATTACAGCATTATTGATATATTATTATTGGGGTGGGGGAAAAATCAATTCACATGTAAATCACGATTCTATCTTCTGCCGATTTGCATCGATTCACAAATTGCAAAAATTGATCTTCTAAAGTGTTACATTTCTTAAACTTTGCTGTCCTACTTAAAGTTATTGACACATTAGAGTGTTATTAATCACAATAAGACGTGAAAAAGGATCACGCTGATGAACACACAGCCAAAGCGCGCGCCCAGAATCCGCCTCTCAGATGCATGCGATCCCGAATTCAGTTCTCTTTCACTGCTTATTGCGCTTGAATGATCAAATACACACACAATTATGTCAAAATGCACATCATGAGGAGTATTCACGTAAACACAGCCTGTTATGTCCTACACAAACATAAACGGTTAGGAGAAAATCGGATGTCTAACAGTATATTTGATCTGTGCGTTCATTCTTAAAGGTTCTCTAAGCGATCCTGGGTGACGTCACTTCTTGTTGACGTTCGAACTATTGTCAAACAAAACGGAGGCTAGCTAGACCCTCCCTACTCCTCATCCGCACACTAACCCCCCAAACCCTTCTTGTCGGTCATTGGCTGGAACAGTTTGTTATGTTTTGGGGAGCGGGTCGCTGCAGTTTGTTTTTGGTGCTGTTTGTGAAGCATGGGCTGTCTACAGAGATCGCGTTTCTTTACAGTGTGTTCAGGGGACAGGCAGCCAGCGGATAGTGAGGAGATGTTTGCTGTATGTGACAAAAAATGTTTTGGCCTAAAAAACACATGACATCGCTTAGAGCACCTTTAAAGGGACAGCAGCCTAATAAACTTTTGCTGTCTGTTGTTAATTTAATCCCAGAAGTCACTCACTGCTTTTGACTTTTGAATCTTTGATATCAATGCATATTTAATTCATACAGTGAAGACTATACAGTTTTATTTTTACATTTGATTATTCAATTTATGAAGTATTTCTTATAAACCTAGGCTACCTGAAAAACCTAGTTTAATTGGTATATTTTTTTCTGTTGTTTTTCCTCCTATTGTTTGTTTTTTGCCATGAAAATAGCCTTGGATGCTGACATGGCACTAAATAAAACAATCTGAACCTGCATCTCCTTTTGTTTGTAATTTGTTTGTTTCTTTGTTCCTTTAAATATATAAAAATGAAATAACATGTGTGTAATGACTGCAGTCAGCTTAATGGCATTTGTTTTATAAAATGAGGTTGACTAAAATGAGAAGGTTTACATTTAATTCAGTGGGATTTCTTTTTCTTCAAGACCTTTCTGCCGCAGTCAAATATGAAAGGGAACACAAAACAGTAAACTAGAATCAAATCTATGATATCGAATCGAAATTTAAATCTAATCATGAGGTACCAAAAGATTCCCACACCTAATTATTATTAGTATATATTAATGCGGTGGTTGTTGTTGTTGTAATAATTATAATATATTAACAATGTTGTAATAAGGCTGTAATAATAATATTAATAATAACAGTAATTATTGTTATTATTATTACCAAAAACAGTATGTGCTGTTTATTAAAATGCAGTAAGTATATTTTGTATACTTATTTATGCAAGTAGTATATTTTTAAGATAATGTATTATATTTAAGGCTGTGAATTTAACATGTTAAATTAGTGGGATTAAAAAAAAAACGATTTAGAAAATAATAAACACAATGTTCTCTGTATGTAAATTCGTAATACGGGATTTACTTACCATTGAAGAAATTCAATCTCCACCTTCATATTTTTGCTATGCAATAAGTACACAGAAAATAATTTGGTGTAGGATTTACTTTTAAAAAAAAAACACTCCTCTTATGTCAAAATATCACGGAAATGTTTATTAAAGTGTCAGTTCATGACCCCTTTAATTCTAATGTTATTTATGCATTCAGGCCAGCAGGTGGCAATAAAGAAGATCCCTAATGCCTTTGAGGTTGTGACGAATGCCAAACGCACGTTGAGAGAGCTGAAGATCCTGAAACACTTCAAACACGACAACATCATCGCCATTAAAGATATTCTCCAGCCTGTGCTCCCTCACTCGGCTTTCAAATCAGTGTAAGCTTGAGTACGAGGTAGCATCCGATGCATATTCTCTCTTCGTATATGACATGCTAAAAGTCTCTTGTTCTTTAGGTACGTGGTTCTTGACCTCATGGAGAGCGACCTGCATCAGATTATCCACTCCCGGCAACCTCTGACTCCAGAACACACACGCTACTTCCTGTATCAGCTGTTAAGAGGCCTGAAATACATTCATTCGGCCAACGTCATTCACCGCGACCTCAAGCCGTCCAACCTGCTGGTCAATGAAAACTGCGAGCTGAAGATCGGGGACTTCGGCATGGCACGTGGATTGAGCGCGTCCCACTCCGAAGAGTCACGTTCCTTCATGACCGAGTACGTGGCCACCCGCTGGTACCGCGCTCCTGAGCTCATGTTGTCTCTTTACCACTACAGCTTGGCCATCGACCTCTGGTCTGTGGGCTGCATCTTCGGCGAGATGCTCGGCAGGAGGCAGATGTTTCCGGGGAAGAACTATGTGCATCAGCTGCAGCTGATTCTTTCGGTTTTGGGCACGCCGCCCGAGAGCATCATCGGCTCGATAGGGTCGGACCGGGTGCGCTGTTATGTGAGGAGCCTCCCTTTAAAAGCGGCAGAACCGCTCGCAGCACTGTATCCACAGGCTGAGCCCAATGCGCTGGACTTGTTGGCCGCGATGCTCCGCTTTGACCCTCGTGAACGGGTCAGTGCGTGTCAGGCACTAGAACACCCCTACCTCAATAAGTACCACGACTCGGACGACGAGCCGGTGTGCGTTCCCGCCTTCGATTTTGAGTTCGACCGGCAGTCCATGGGCAAAGAACAAATCAAAGAAGCTATACTAACAGAAATCGGGGACTTCCATAAGAAGAAGCAGGGTGTCAGAAAGAAGATCCAGTTCAAACCGCTCCATTCTTCAGGTTCGGCGGTGGGCGGCGTCTCCGGTAACGCGCTTTGCACGGCTCCACAGACTCAAAACCTGACTGATACAGCACAAACGTGCCGACAGCACAATCTCAACTACAAACCGGCAGACGGTACACAAACTCGAGCGAATGCGAACTCGTTTCAAGCCCGACATCATCTCGCCCAGATTTTCCCACATTTGGCTCAGTCGGTGAGCTGCCAGGATGTGGACATGCTCAGCGCCAACTCCGACGGCCAGCCTGAAACCATCGATCTGACCACTCCCACAGACAAGGACACTTTTACTGAACCAGTCACGGACTGCACAAAGGACGAGCTTGTCTCGTCCAATCACTCTCTTCCCAAACAAATGGTTCCGCCCCATCCCATCTCTCAGACTCCGCCCACTTCAAGTCTTCCGCAGTCTATCCCTTCACTCTCTCTCACACAGTCCCAAGCTCAGTCGCTCTCTCAAAGCCTCACTCGTTCGCTTGGAAAAGGAGGGAAAGCGACAACCGGGGAAGGCACAAAAAAAGAGGGAGCAATTTCAGAAGACACAAAAGCAGCTCTCAAAGCTGCCCTGCTCAAATCAGCGCTGAGGCAGAAGGCTCGAGGTGAGAGAGTTTGGAGTGTGTGTATGTGACAAGGCTCACAGACAAGGCTCAAGTCTAGTCCCAGACTAAAATGCGTGTTTGAGCTGTTTTAACTTAAAGCAACTTGCACTGCTATATGTTAAAATATGTCAGTGCCATTGTTTTGTCTAAAGATACACACCAGTAATGTTTTAGATGTCCTAATTTAACTAAGGCTTAATCCTGGCTTAATCTAAACCCTGTCTGTGAAACCAGGCCTTAATGTTCAAACTTTGACGCCACAGACCCCAAGATATGATGATCATGTGAGGAAGCCACTTCCTAAAATATAAAATCAAACTAATTCATGTATAAAGATCCATTTTACTGAGAAAAAAAAATCGGTATATATTTTGTATTTTTTTTTGTATATACTACAGTTCAAAAGTTTGAGGTCTGCAAGGTTATATATATATATATATGTGTGTGCTTAATTTATATTTATCAAAGACTCAAAAATAATAATAAAAAGAAATGTTTCTTGAGCAGCAAATCAAGTAATGATGCTGAAAAATAGAAAATAGCGGTAACGCTTCCTTTTACAGTCCTGTTACCCATGTACTTACTATGTACTTATTATAGTAATTATAATTACTGGGTAATAACTAGGTACTAACCCTGAACCTACCCCTAAACCTACCCCTAACCCATGTACTTACCTTATATTAGCCAGTACTTTCTAGGTAAGTACTGTACTGTAAAAGGAAGCGTTACCAAAATAGCTATATTAAATTCTAATAATGTTTTACAATATTACTGTTTTTACTGTACGTTTGATTCAATAAATGCAGCCATGAGAAACTTCTTTCAAAAATAATAAAACAATCTTACAGACCTCAACAATTGCAACGATAGTGTATTTTATATTGTTTATTTTATATTTATATTATAAAAATATTATGAGTACAATTTGATCTGGTAAATATTTAGTTTCTATTAAATTGACATTTCATCTTTTTTCTACCCACCATTAGAGTACTGTTGTCAACCTGGAGAGAAAATTCTTTAAACTTAAACTTAACCTTGTCTTGTTTTATGATATTTCATTTTTCTCTTATCCATGAAAATGTCAGGCCTGGTCATGCTAACATTCACTGATTCTTCCTCAGATGGAGGCTCTGCAGCTCTTGGTCTAGATTTACTCAGAGAAGCTGCTGGTAGTTTATCCTCGTCGCTCTCCTCCTCTAACTCTGGTCCGGAGCATAAGAGGCCAGTCACGGCCCAGGAGAGACAGCGAGAGAGGGAAGAGAAGCGGAAGAAGAGGCAGGAGCGTGCCATGGAGCGAAAGAGGAAGCTGAAAGAGAAGGAGAAAAAGGAGGGGAAACGAGGAGAATCTTTAGGCGGCGTTTTGCTCAGCGACAACGACAAGAGGCTGCTGGAGCGCTGGGGGCGAATGATGGACACCCGAGGGGACAAATCGCAGACCGCAGAAACCAACGGTGCCAAGACCAATGAGAGTAAGACAGTCCAAATCCAGCCAGCAACAGGAAGCAACCTCGTAAAAACAAACTCGGAATCAGTGCCGCCAAAACAACCCAACGAAGTGCCACAAATGCTGCCTCAAATGGGACAGTGTGTCACAGCTGGATTATTCCATCCAACTTCGACCCATAATGCAGCACCCGTCTCTTTAGCTCCGTCTCAGAATGGGGACGTTGGTTTAGTTGCAGTAGGAGGAGGCGGAAGTGTTGGAGGTTTGGGTGTGGTAACGGGCCCGTGCGCCTTTGCCAAAAGCAACATATTAAAATCTCAGTTTCTGAGTGTTGGAACAATGTTCACTGGTCTTGAGAACTGGACGGGAACATCTCCACACAAAACCCAGCAACCTCCACTAGAACTGAACAACCCCGCTCACACGGGCTTCACGCACTTGCAAACCCAGCCGAAGCCCGTCCCACAGCCCAACGCTCACATCCAGCTGCTGCCGCTGGAACCCTTCATGACGAAACCACCAGCCTTGAACCCCAGCATTGGCGTTTCGGACACCAGCACGAATCCAGAGCCCCGCGATGGTCCTCAAGCCCTGGACAAACTTTGCGTTCTGGGGAACAGACAGGACGGCTCTCATTCACAGGGCCCTTCAAAACAGCCTCCAGGAGCCGCAGCTCAACCCTGCCTTAGTCTCACTGACACGGGACAGTCGACAAACGGCATCCCTGATATCCACACAGTCACACAGCAGCTCTCAAAGTCACAGGTGAAGTTCTAGCCATAAAATCGGACTGTGGGCCGCCTTTAAATATGAGATGAATTCTTTTGGGTTTTTAAAAGAGTTTCATGAAAGTCTGATCGCTTAGAAAAGTGACACCTGTTCTCAACAGGACACTTAATTTGAGTTATTGATTTATCACGGTCATGGATAACCTGAACCATTAGGGAAATTTAAAATGGAAACAAGTCAAATCTTAAAATGCCATGGAAATTTCGATAGTGTCTACGTTTTTTTTAGTTGTTCTCTGCTCCAAAATATTACATGAGCAAGATATAAAGTTACATGATTGAGGGTCTTATTGTACACAAATAAATATAATCATTTAAAACTATTTATTCGAAAGGCCATTATAAGACATAGAAATGCATTCTTTATATCATTATTATATAATCATAATATATGCTAATGCTATATATGATTTATTTTTCTTTATTTAAAAAAATCTATATCCCTCAAGAGATCATGCAATGCATTTTTTTTTTACTATAATGTATATATTTAGTTAATTTTATTTATTTATTTTTAAATCTGTAGTTCCCAGAGGTCATACCATGCATTATTATTTTTGTTGTATTATATATATATTTATTATTATTATTATTTTAAACCTGCAGCCCCATACATTTGTGAGAGCAAATAAGACAGAATAATAATAATCATGCATGAGGCCTGTTTCTACCTCAGGGTAATGAAGAAAAAATGTAATTTTGAGATAAAGCCAAAAAATAATAAGTAGCATTGTGATATATATTCACAATTGGGAGAAATAAAGTTACAGCTACCTTTTATTTTTACTTTGTGATTAAAATTGGCTTCCATATTTATGCGATCTCCATTTATGTTTGGAAAACATAATCACTGCTTTACACACTGCAATATATTTCTTATAAATGTATATTTGATTTTGAACTCGTTCATTTGTTTCATTCTTCTCTTTAATCTCAACTTTGTCCTTTTCTCTGCCAGGTTGAAGACATTTTGCCACCGGTTTTCTCAGTGACCCCTAAAGGCAGTGGAGCTGGATACGGCGTAGGCTTTGACCTCGATGACCTCCTCGCTCAGTCCCTTACCGAACTCCAGCACTCTGACCTCAGGGAAAGGTCAGTTCAAATCTCTATTTTTGAACTGTACGTCACTGCAAATTACAATGCTTGACTCTTATGTACATACTAGGCATATTATTGGCTATCTATCGTAGGTCACTTAGGATAAAAGTATATAAATGTACTTTTTTTTTTAATGTAAATAAATGTACATTTCAATGGTCTCGTTTCTCATTTTCATTAGTCACAATGACTTGGCCCCCCTGTCTGCATCCCTGCTCTCTGATTGGCTCGAGGTGCACCGCATGACCCCTGCTGACATGGAGTCACTTCAGCAGGAGCTCCAGCTCGGATCTCCCATGATCCTCTCCGACAACTCAACGCTTCCTGATACCTGATCAGCACCTGCACTCCTTCTCCATCCCCTTGTAGAACCGGTTGAGGACCGTACACAGAGGAGTTTGATAGCTGTATTGTCTACCAGTGTACTAGACCTAGAGTCAGTAGAGGGAATATCTTTGAGGCTCCAAATTATTAAGGCCTTACCCAGAAAAGTGCCTTTATCTTGAATGGGTTCACATACATTATTTATTTGTGCCAACATTAAAGTATGATGCCGTTCGGTTATTAAGGGGGTTTCCATGCTTGGAATTTCAGTGCCATCATAAAGCAATTCAGATCAAGGGAAGAAGAGTTCACTTCAGCTGTGCTAGTGCCATTGATTCACCAGCTGGTTTTATAGAATATTCAAGCCAATAGCAATGAAACAGCAGCTGTTTAGAAGACCACCAGAGTTTAAAGCTATTTTCTAGTACACTACAGTAGGAGTCGCCTCCAGGGCAGCAGTATTACGATGATGAAACACAATAAGGGAAGCAGAGCACATTGGCATTATTACTGGACACTAGGAAGTAGTGCAGAGTAGAAAAACATTTCATTTGATGTTGCATGAATGTCTTGTAGAAAATAGTGACACTTGCTGCACCAACATGCAGATTTGCTCAGTTTTACACCAGCAACGAAAAAAGTATTGTTGTCTTGAATAAAGCTATCAAAGGGATATTGTCGTATTATTTTGCAATGTTTTGTTGTTTGTTTACATACTGAAGGCGGCACTTAGGAGTAATATGCAAATTCACCTTGACTAAGCCCTTTGTTAATTTTGTAGGATTTGCAAAGGAAACAAATACTGTTAGTATCATCTCTGGGTACCTTATAACACTAGTATAATTTTGATTGTTTTTTGGGATAATTTCTATAAAATGATGTTTAATCCTCTGGTACTGTTGACTCATTTCTTTTTTTGATTGTACTATATTTTAGTTTGATAATGTTTTTTTTTATTTAATATTTGTATTTTTAGGGGATTTTATGGCACTAAATTATATTTATGTAGTAGTTATAATCCATTTATTCACTTTTTGAGCATTACATTTCCAACTCAAACTGACATAAATCTTGAATTCTTTGGAGCACAGACTTCAGTTTGGTCTTTTTTTAAAGAAGACATTTGGCAGGTTATTGCTGAAGTGAAAAAAAGTTTTTTAAAAGTGAACTTGAAAAGTTATACAATTTTATATTTATGAAAAAAAATGTATATGAAGTATATATTTTACAAAACACATTTTACTCTAATACTGTGAGAAAATCTAAGCCAAATCTAAACAAGTTGTGTTGCAAATTTGAAGTTGATAAAAAAAAAAAAGAGCTTTCAGTAAGAATTTGTTTGGCCGCAGAACCAAACGTTTCCAAAAGATGAAATTCGCCTCCCATTCATTTCCAATGAGGCCGTTTTTGACCGCAAACAATACAAGTGACGTTTTTCAGGACCATCTAACCTTTTCATGTTTTGTTTTTTTGGGCTTCATACACCAAGTGCCAAAACCTTTAACAAAGTTTCTTAGCATTCAGATAAAATGTAATTATTTTGTCTGTAAAAAAAAAGAACAGCACCAGAAGGTTAAAACGCGTATCTTCCATTCCATGACTTGCATTAAACGACACAGAAGCTTGTCTGAGAATATGCCAGATGACAACAGTTGCTGATAGGATTGGTCAGTTACGTTTACCTCTACCATAAATAAGCATACAAAATATCAAAAACAAAAATCACTTTATTACAAAGTTTTATTTACAACATTTCGAGAGAAACAGTCACCAAGAGGTACGAAAATACAACTGACTGACTCTAGGGAAGCATTAAATCTGTAAACATCTAATTGTTCTCGAACTAAAACTTTTACGTGTCCTGATTTAAAGGTAAATAACATGTATTATTACTGTGCAATTGTTAAGAGGCCATTTATACTTTAGTTTGCATTATGATGTCAAATCTCACAGATCTGTTCATCTGGATTTGAGTCGATTCAGTTGAAAAATTGCATTTTTGCACAGTTAAATTACGCAGTATAATCATCTGTGTTAATCAGTACATTCGCACAAATTTCAGATTAAAGTTAAAAGATTATAACAATCAAGTGAGCAGGTAAAAAAAAAAAAGAGTTCATATATTGATTTCATATCATTCATGTATGTCTGTTTGTGTAACTTTGGTACAAACAAACTAGTAAACTACATAATATAGTTGTTTAAAAAAAAATGATTAAAAAAGCCACTTAAAATCTCTCTTTATGTAGGACGGTATTTTGGGGTGGGCTTTCCGCTTCTGCAAGGATCAATGTGCATCTATCTCAGAATCTGTACCAACACCAGCAGAGTTAGAGTCCTGATGAGCACCATGACCCGGTCGGCCCAGTTGTGACCCGATGCGCTCTTGAGCTGGACTCCTCCAACATGGCCTTGGATGAAGTTACTAAAGCTGGCCACTTTAGCGTAGACTCCTGGTCGGTTTGCTTTAGCACAGCTGAGACCGAAGCTCACGATTCCAGCTTGCACCCAACTACCATCACTGATCTCACACACCAGAGGGCCACCGGAGTCGCCCTGAGAAAGCACGATAACAAAAAGATATTATGAACATGAGCAATAAGGTGATGTTGCATTTCACACACCAGCACTCGATGCTCCTCACCTGGCAGGCGTCTTTGCCCCCTTCTTGGAAGCCAGCACACATCATGTCCCTGCGGATGTCGATATTATGTTTGGGGTTTGTCAGATACATATCCTGACAAGTGTTCGAGTCAATGATTGGCACTTGGACTTCCTGCAATGGGCCAACCCCCTGTAGAGCAACTAAAAGAGATGAGAAAATCATTTGAAACTGCTTTTTGTGTCTCCTTTTAAAGGGTAACTAAACCCTAAAACAACTTTTTTTAGTTAATGATCTGTAAGACTGGGGTTTTATTAATGCTGCTCATTCAAATAAATGTTTTGAAATTTGGGTATAAAGTAGCCTGGGAAAACGCAGACAACTTCCGGCATATTTAGATTTGCTCTGAAAGTTAGTCTGGCAAAGAGCTCATTCAAGCCCATTTCCAATCCGCCGAAATCGAGGAACCAATCAGAAGCGTTGGGGCGGGCTTTACACGATGATGACAGCGCTGGGATTTTGAAGCAGATTTTGTAGCCTACATTACAAAGATGGATGCCGCCATCGAACATCACTCGTTCGAATCAGCTATCGCGTCTGTTTTAAGCCATTTGAACGTTTCCTTTTTGTTAAAAACCGAGCAAAGAAAACAACACTCGGAGATGTTTCTCCGCCGCTCTGCATACGTCATCTCCTTCATCGCTCTGATTGGGTTTAGGTCTATCCGCGACGTCCGTTGGTGACGCCCCTCTGGAAATGATTTGTCTATGACTCTTTGCCAGACCATAACTCGGTTACAACTGAGAATGGTCTGGTTTTAACCAGGCTATGGTATAAAGTGTTTTAATTCTACAATATGGTGTAAAAACGTCTGAGTGCTGCCCTCTTCAGGTTGAACGGTGGCTACTGCAGTTGAATTTTCCTATTGGATGTTGTGGTACTGCGTGACGTAAGCAGGCACCAGCTCACCTTGCCTATAGAGAGACGCGGGTCTCAGGTGCACACCCCCTTCGAGATGCCGATAACCCAGTCAAAAACGCTGTCTGCTGTGCTATCAGAAAAATTCTCTTGACCCTTAAGAAACTAATTCAAATTAAAATAAGGTAAAATAAACTAATTGCTATTTACAACATTGAAGTAAAAATATAAAGCCTGTACAAATACTAGCAATCGTGAAATAATGAAAATGGGAATCATGTAGGAAAAAGTACATTTCATTTATCTATTATAACTTTTATGTCGTTTTGGTCGCTTGGTTGTTTCCTTATAAAGGTCCAGAAATTCAAGGTTTTCGTCAGATGTGTGATTTTCTTTTTTAATATGATGTCGTTACGTTGCTGTCTTGCCGCCGTCAATCGCTGCATTGCTGGTCATGGTTTCGAGGATTGATATATCTGCCCTTTCCAATGAACAAGAATGCGCAGTAATCTCAGACTATACTTAATCCAGATATTTTAATCACATCCACAAATTTGTTTGAAGAACCAAATTGGCCAGAGATCAGTTATCACGATTAGAAGAGCTGGCATCTGTCAAACCATCTCAGATGTATTAAGCGAGGTACGAAGAACGGACCCCAGTTCAGGGTTGATTTTAAGCTCCTGGTATTTGTATACAAGTCCTTGAATGGGTCAGCATCCTACCTGTCAGAGCTCTTGCCCCTTTGGACATTAAGGTCTTCTGACCAGTCTGTTTTAATTGTTCATTGGACTAGGTATAAGTGAAGGAGGGATCGGGCCTTTGCAGTGGCAGCACCGAAGAGAAGGAATAGCCTACCATCTCACATTAGACTTCTTTGCCTAGCTTTCGAGACTGCAGTGTGTTGAGGCATTGGTTTGTACTGGTTTTAGGTGGTTTGTCTGTGTTATGATGTTGTTGTTTTATTTTATTAGGAAAAAATGTATTATTGCACAGCACTCTGGTCAACGCTCTGTTGTTTTTAGTGCTTTATAAATTGAAAGCACCCTTAAATAACTGTACTCACTCACCTCCCTCTCGGATGTCACCCCATCCGGTGATCATGCACTTCATGTCGCTGCTGAACTCCACATTAGGATATGGCAAGCACACAGGCTGAACGCGGTCAGACCACACAACCGGTGTGTTTAGCTCTACCAGAGCAATATCCTGACCTAACTCAGGGTCCGTGTAACCCAGCGGAACCACCACACGACGGACGCCATGGCTCGACTCGTCCGGGTTCCAACCGTTCAGCTGCGATCGGCCCACGTAAATCGTGTAGGAGTTGATGTCATTAGGGCTGGACAGAGAGGAGAATTGTTTATTTCTCATTATATATACAGAAGTCAACTTTTAAAGTGGATCAAAAAGACAAAAACTAATATTGTTCAAAATCCATGTATAGCTTTGATGAAAGGTTTTGATCCACTTCAAATGTTAACTACTGTATATATATATATATATAGCCAAAAAATAAACAAACAAGGATTATATGGGTGTTAAAAAAGGTGCGTCGAAACTTACTTGGGAAAGCAATGTGCAGCAGACAAGACCCAGCTCTCCGAGATGATACTTCCTCCACACACATGTCCTTGATTATATTTCTGTATGTACACATCAGCCAGCAATCAGGGAGATATCAATAAAAAAAGATTCGACAGACAATAGACCTTATTCAAGGTAAAGCCCCATTTAATGGTCGACAGGAATGAAAACAAGGCTGTGAGGGATAGAAGTACTGTGCGTTCGTTCAATGGATTCTACTGTTATTTAACAACATACCGACAGTCCAGCTGACGAAACGTCTTTCCCAAAAGAGTTTTGAAAGGTGTGAGTTTTGAAAATCATGTGATCTAGGACTTTTATACAGTGCTCGCCATTGTAAAGAGTTTAAGTCTATCCTTCACAGCCTTGTTTTCTACAGCGTTCAATTCAATATGCCGCCTAACCTGACTAAGGTCAATTCAAAATGTATCCTAAACCTTGCCCTTAAAATAATAAGAACATAGGTTTGACTGAGATTTGTATTCAGTCAAGATCCAGAGGGTGTTTGTTTGTTTATTTAAAAAAATAGGACAAGGACAAATATAAAAAAAATTTGATTTATATTT